ACACACACACGCTCATATACACTCACACGCTCATATACACTCATACACACACACACACGCTCTCACACACGCACACACACGCACACACACATACACACTCACGCACACTTATACACACTCATGCACACACTCGTACACACACACGCTCATATACACTCACACACACACACGCACACTTATACACACTCACGCACACACTCGTACACACACACGCTCATATACACTCACACACACACACATGCTCACACATACCCGTTTGTCGGACTAAAGGGACAATTTTTTTAATTTATGACAAATCAGACTGGGTATAGGGCTACGGGGACACCGGGTTCCAGTGGTGCTAGAGCTACAAAATACATATCAAAAATCATGAAAAAAATCAGCGAACCTATACACGACTTAAAATTTAAAGATTTTCTTTGCACAACTGAGATATAAAAAATGGCTCTTTTTCTGACTTTTTGGTGGTTTGTAAAGACTTCTCTGTAACAGGGTCTATAAGGACAGTGTGGTGTACAGGGTCAATGATTTCACCATACACATACACCAAGTATAACCTGCTTTGAAAGGACACAAGGTGTATAAGGCCAGGTCACCAGACACATACACCAAATATAACCTGCTTTGAAAGGACACAAGGATTATAAGACCAAAGTGACTGAGGCACACCATAATAATAATATGGAATATATTACAGAACTGCCAACCCTACTGCTTCCGTGAGATGCCTTCTAAAAATAAATTGAATCAGCTCATCAAGCTCTTCAGGTTTGCTTGAAAATACGACGGCAGGTGTGCTGAAGCAGGTTGGAACTAAACCTCTACGCTAGAGTATAGGATTAGCACCCAGCCGCAGTCGATGTGTAGATGCGCTAGAGTATAGGGTTAGACTCGGCTGACCTCGACTTTAGATGCGCTAGAGTATAAATATTATAGGTATGTAGATAGGTTTATGAAAAAATCTACCATAATTAATTGTTTGACTACTAAACGTAATTCATCTGCATTTAAGCTAATAATGTTGAAAATAATATAGGTTTGTCATTATTAACACACAACACAACATTTGTTGAATTACTGAAATATATTTGATTTGGTCAACTCAAGAATCCGTTCCTTAAAAGGACAACATTGTAAAAATGAACATAAAAATAAAAGTGAATCCTGACATTAAAAGGCCCAGGGTAACCACATAGCAAAATAAACAAAACAAAAAAACTGCCTGTAAGCAAAATAAATTAAAGGATTAATAAATAAAATGTATTTAATAATAAAATAAATAAATTAAATTAAAAGATGAGGTTCACCCAAAAATGAAACTGATGTCATTAATGCCTCTCCCTCGTGTCGCCCCAAGCCCGTCAGACCTCCGTTCATCTTCAGGACACAGTTTAAGATATTTTAGATTTAGTCCGAGAGCTTTCTGTCCCTCCATTGAACATGTATGGCCGGTTTAATGTCCTTGTCCAGAAAGCTAATAAAGACTTCAAAGTAGTCCATGTGACATCAGTGGGTTAGTCAGAGTTTTCTGAAGCATTTCAAGCAAACAATACAATTGTATTCTCTTCCCGGTCTGTTGTCAACTCCACAGTGACCCTGCTGATGACGTGTTATCTGGTGCGCCTGAGTGTTTTTGGCGATTAGGATCCGCGACATGCACACTTACGCACCATTGTAAAAAAATATAGCAATACTAAAATACAAACAATGTAGAATAGCTTGAATACAGTGTGCGTCTCCCCCAGACTGTAAACGACGCTCCGGCGCACCAGATAACACGTCATCAGCAGGGTAACTGTGGAGTTGACAACAGAACCGGAAGACAATGCAATGCTGAATAAAGTCATAGCTTTTGTTATTTTTGGACCAAAATGTATTTTCGATGCTTCAGAAAACTCTGACTAACCCACTGATGTCACATGGACTACTTTGATTAAGTCTTATTAGCTTTCTGGACAAGGACAGTAAACCGGCCATACATGTTCAATGGAGGGACTGAAAACTCTCGGACTAAATCTAAAATATCTTAAACTGTGTTAAGATGATGAATGGAGGTCTTACGGGCTTGGAACAACATGAGGGAGAGTCATTAATGACATCATTATCATTTTTGAGTGAACTAACCTTTAAGTGACCTAAACCATTTCTGAACATAGGACAGCAACTTGCAAAACATGCCTAGAAAGGTAAAGGCTCAGGCTATCCAAAAGTGCATTTAGCGTTTAGCATTTGAATGTTTTTTAAAGGCTAAGCCCCTGTTGCGCACAAAATCTCGAATGTTCTGAATGGATCTTTTCTCCAAGATAGGTTGTTCCTTTTCCTTGCACTTCAGGCACTGCTCACTGGTGGCAGTGACACCGTTTTCAATAAAAGGCCTCATATGTTTCATCACAGCTTGTATCTCCTCCTCAGACCATGGTCTCTTCACACACCGTCTTGATGAAACATGGAAACCTGAAGAATTAAAAAAATATTAGAAGATAAAAAAAAAGATAAAAGATCCTGCAAGATGTACTTGTAGGTCGGGATGTTGCTGTTCAAAATTGACAAACAAGCTGGAACTTGTGTAGACAATGTGTGTGATAATAAATTGACTTTAGTTCTGCTAAAAATCAAGTTAGATTGTTTTAATTAACATGACATTTCATTACACTGCTTATTAAAAACAAAATACATCCAGCTTCTTTTTATGCCTTATATGTCTAACCAAACAATGTAAGCGTTGACTGCACATTAGTGGTGCCTAGTGATGGACATGGCATCGCATTTATACAATACCTTGAGTAACTGAGTCGGGGAGATGAGGTGAACCAGAAGTTACACAGGCAGCGTTCCCCTGGTCATCTAAAAAAATATTGCACAGTATAAATGTATGGGCTTAAAGAGCCTGTCTGCCTACCAATCAAACACCATGGACATGGAGGGGATACATGTAGAACTGTAGACAGCCAATTCTATATTATAATAAGTATACTCATGGCAAAGTTGTTGAACCGGATGAAGTCAGGAGAGCGTAACTGTGCAACAATACCTTGAGTGATAATTTTACTAGGAAATAATGTAGATTTTACACAGGCCAAGTCTTCGCTGTTGTTTTAAAATGATCATGCAAACTACTGAACACATCAAAATACTAGCCAAGTTTATAACCATCGTACTACTGTAAAATTCCTGACTAAAACATTTTTAATAAACTCTAATGAACCCATAGATCTAGCTCATTACATTAGATTTGTTGGGCAAACTTTGGGTCCATCATTCAGATTATACCTTGAGCTGCAGTCTCGGAGAGGTGAGGTGATTCAACAGTGCCAGAAGCCAACATTTCTTCATTGTCTAAAAACAAAACAAGACAACAAAAAAAACGTTGGTATCAATTACACAGCAAGGAGGGTAGGCAATAAAAAGTTCATTTTTTTAAATAACAGTAGGCAGTTATCTAAATGTATATATAAAAAAAAGCCTATTTTAAATATTTCACCAATACAATTACAAAATCCGCAACATGGAATGCAACAATTTTAGTAGCCTTGGGACCCAATTTTAACAGTACCTTGCAATGTGGAAACATTAAGGAGTAGTTGTGATCCTGTATCCATATCGTCTATGTCATCTATTAAATGACATTGTAAAAATTATCACATTTTATTACACATACACCAAGTAGATTTAACAACATGTAAATGATACATACCACCAATTTCGTCCAGAGATTTTCCTTGAATATCCTTCACACTTCCCTTCTCCATAGCCATAAGCAGCTTTGATATCTTAGCCAGCTGAATTGTTGATTGGGGCAGTCGATAGTACTCCCTATGCACCCTAATGTCATGGCCAAGAAAATCAGCCAGCTGGTCCAGTTCATTATCTTTCAAGTTCATGACTTGGCTTATTGTGGCGATCTGTTTGCGAAGGTTAGTTGATCTGAGGTTTTGAGGATCTTCAGCTCCACAAGCATCTGCAAATGGACCAAACTGCCCTCTGTAGTGACCATCACTACAAGGAACAGCGAACAGGTAATTGTTGTTTTCAGTTACTCCACACTCTTTCCTCTTACTAATGAGGAGTGACAGGTTAGCAGTCATATCAGGAGTCAGGATCACAGCAACCTTTCGTCCTTTTTTCCCCCTCAATTCTACTCTGGCGAATTGTTTGCAAAGTCTCTTCTCAACTTCGGTAAGCCCAGTGCTTATGTCATCGTTTAGTTGTGACATGTCACGATCTTCAAAATTGTTTACAGTCATCCGTGCCACTTCACCTTCCCTCCTCCTATTAAACAAAATGACTTGACAGAGGGTCACCTTTGCTAGTGCTGTATAAGTGCCTGCTGTTGGGTTATCGGCTAGTTTCTCCTTAGCCAATTCCACTTGCTGACCAAGATATAACTGTAGCTTCTGGACGTCTTTGGCCAGTGGAAGCCTGCTGCTCTTGTTGTATTTTGCCTCACTCAGGTTTGATAAGGCAGAATGGGAAACTAATTCAGACCACTTTGTTTCATGAAGTGCATGAAACCTTCTGATGGAATCGATCCCCTCTTGGTCCTCTTCCATGAGGACACGACACATGATGAGGTCACTTATCTTTCTGAGAGAATGCCCAATTTTCAGGGCCAAACTTGGGGCTTTGAATGTGTTGTTTTCATGATCAAAACCTGAAACTCTCTTGACAGCACTTGTAAGAATAAAGAAGTTGCCTGGTTTTATTGCCTCTTCCATGTTATGGATTCTAGTTGTGTGGCGCAAAGTCACAAGTAATCTCCCAAGTTCCCTTACTTTCTGTCTTATATACTCATGCTTTGATCTGTCATTCCCATGCTTATTAAAGAGGGACTGGGCAAACTGCATGAGATAATGATCATTCCTTATTGCAGTGGACACGTCATCCTTGTGCATTTTGCCCAGCACTGACCAAAGTTCACTTGAAATTGGCTGTGACATTGTAGACTGAGCAGATGCTATACCAATGACTCTCTCTCTCAACTCAGGTCCCTCTTCAACATTATTCTCGGGTCTTAGAGCACATCTCTTCATATGTCGAGAAAGTTCGGCTCTGGATAACATACCCTTACAGTACAAGCAGTAATCGTAAGTCTCAGAGCTGCTGCTCTGTTTGGAACACCTTTTCACTTTAAGACAGCCTGACCCTGTGGTTTTAACAATAGAGTTATGCTTGAAGTTGCCAAGGTTTCGGAATTTCTCAAGAAGAACCTTTCTGTCCTTTGATGATTTGGGGAACTGGAGTGCCTGTGCGATTTCAGCATTTTCTTTTACATGCCTCTCGAGATGACGTGCAAATTTTGTTTGAGGTTTTTCACATACAAAACAATAATTGACTTGGCTTTTAATGAATTTCGCTGATTTAGTTGGGGATTTACTTTGGCCAAGATTATCCACAGTACCCTTTTTGTTACTCGCATCTTTTGTTTTCTGCAGGTATGACTCTGAGCTTTCTGGTTCTGGTTCGGGGTCACTTTGGAGATCACCAGTAGTTTCTAGATCCATCAGGATATTCTTACAGATATCCTTTGAGTTGTCCTCTATATCTATGGTCTGTTCTTGTTCAGCGAAAGTAACACCTAAATCAGGCATATTAGTGGTATGGGACTTTTTGGATGGTCCAGGCAACTGAACACTCAACTCTGTCCCTGAGCTTTCTGAATCCGATACAGATGCTGGGATGTACTCGTCGCCAGATGAGACATCGTCCTGTAAAGTACATTCAATTATTTAATTAAATTTAATTAAATACAGTCATCTTTAAATAACAGAAATACACATGGGAAGGATGGATGTCAAAAACAAACTGCTAAGAGCCATCCTATTGATATTAAGCATATTATACTTCAATGCACACTTACATCTGATATATCCCAGTCTTCTGAGGATTTCTGGAGGCAGATTTTATGCCACACACCACAGCATTCTTCACAGACAAAATTAGGCAAACCACAGCATTAGACAACAATTGATCAATTTCCCATGCTGACCAATTACATACTAATTTTCTAATATTAAATGCAAACAGCTTCACACTAATGAAACATACAAAATCAAGAAATGCTAACAAAATGAACTGTTCATTACAAATGCACAGTTTGAGTGATGGCTAAAATTTTCCATTTAGACAAAAAGTACACAGGTTTCGACCATTGAGGTAGAATTCAATGGAGTGGCAGAGCATTTACATTACCCATTCAAAGTCAAAGTTAAAAATGTATGTAGTGATCCCACACAATAAATTCACCAACACCACTAAACATAAGCATAAAGTGAACTGAAAACTGAAGCATAAAGTGAGTTCAGAATGAAAAGCAGATTTTTTGAGTTCTGGCAGAATGGTCTAATGGGGAACAAAAATGCTGAAATGTTTATCCTACATTAATTAATAAGGCTTGTGAGAATAAAAGGAAAGTAATTGGAAAGGTGTGGAGACACCTACAAGCATTTGGATTGCCAATTGCTTGATGGATCTATTGAATTAGGTCTGCATTTATTAGCCCTAAAGTTTTTGTTCATTATGACCTTTTTATATACAGTATATTTATCATCTCAATTAGCCAAACTAAATTCAAAAGACCACATTCGAAAAGCCCACTCAAACTATTATCAACTCAGATGCGTAAACAAGGCCCAGTGACTTATTGGAAGGCACGAAGTTAGAAAAAAAACACTTGGAAATCCTTATTGGACAGACACAAAGAAATTTGCAAGTTTGATAGTTTCTGCTCAAAGGGTTTAACATCATCTTTGAAGTTTGTGAGCATATGCGTAATTACAGAATGACTTTAGTAATGACCTGAGCGCACCACGGACTTAAGGGCACTTTGCTTGTGTTGATACTCATGAAACATAATGAAACGTTTGTGCATTATGCTTTTCAGCCAAGCTAATCTTTAAAAATGCTGACGAAGAAGCACAAACATTGCCCTATGTTCACGTAGCGCATCAAACCAAGAACTGTGTTTTTTGCATTGGTATCGTCGTAAATATGGGATTGTTGAAATTCGTCTACAACAATTCAAACAGTGGTGTTTCGCTTATTGTGCGATTGGGTTAACATTGCAAACAACTCATCAATAAGTTGTAATTTTATTTCAGTCACGCCAATGAATAAAGTCCATTAAAGACGCGTTTAGCCGAGCTGCAGCGAACCGGATGAAAGAGCAAAACATTTGCGAGAATTTAAGGTTGTAGCCTAACTTAGGCCTAAGTCTAATCAACAAAGAGCAATAGGACAGTATAGATAGTAGGGGTGTGACGAGATCTCGTGCCACGAGATCTCGCGAGACTAAATATGACGAGATTTCTCGTCGAGTGAAAAAGCTGTCTCGCGATATCGCCATGAATATTTCACCGCTACACTCACATTCGCCTAAACTATCATTTTGTTGTTTTTATAAAAAAAATAAAAACCATTATAAACTAATGTGAAAGTCTGCTCTGCTCATCCAGCACGAGTTGCTGAAATCAGTGCAGCACGAATCCCAGTTCACTGATCGCGTGACGATGGCGGAGCGGAGGATTCGTTGCGCAACAGACTAAACGTATGTCTTATCTTCTAATCTAGAATATGCGCGCTCAGCACCGCTGCTCCCTATACGCGCGGTCACGACTTTGTAAGTGAAAGTAAAACACAAGCTCCCTGATGTGCATTGCGCACAAATTAGGCTGCATACATACAATAGTCCGTCTCCCAATACCCATCTCTGGACTGTTTATTTGCGGCTATGGTCTCTGTTTGCACTGCGAATATTGAGAGAGCACTGTGTAACGTATAAAGGACAACAGACAAGGGAGGCTCCGTTTCTGAACTTATAATCGGAACGCTGTAGAGACAAACGCACCAGCCTCGTTTCTCTCTACCCGGCCTTTTCCGAACTCACTGCATTAACCCTATAACTGCCGGTGCAAAATAAAACAGCAATTTCACAACAATTATAAAGAGTCTGTGTGCTAACTTTGATTATGGTTGCACTTATTGTTTGCACTTAAGACTAAGAGAAAACTGTTATTTATTTTTGTTATTTATACTGTTTTTATTTCTCTGTTAAATGTATGTAAAGGAGTTCAGTTAGGAGGTCACACACAGCCTCAATCAGAAGTTCTGAAAGCTCTTACATGTACAGTAAGGTCTGAAGAGACTCATGTGAAATCATACAGAAGAAAAGCCAGTCAATAAAAACCTTTGCTTGAATATTGTTTTCTTTCAATGCATTTAATAATTCATACTCATAAAGTAGACCTGAAATGACATGCATTAGAAGATTATTAGTTAAAACATTGAAAAATGCACCTGCATACTATTTTTCATTGAGGATTTCTGAAAAATTGAGCAAAAATCTCATCTCGTCTCGTTCTCGTGAACCCAATCTCGTGTCTCGTCTCGTCTCGTGAGATAAGCGTCTCGTCACACCCCTAATAGATAGCCTAATAATATAAATGATAATAGCAAAGGAATTAAGAACTTGTTCAGGGAAACCCTGCGTGATAGATTTGAAATGCAGCTTCTCCGACTCGCCGCAACCCCCTCCCCACCCCCCAATAAAAAAACTCATTTGCTTTACGTAAATGGCCTATTTTAATTACAAAACGGTAAATTTAGCCAAAAGGCAACTAGTTTGCAGGTATGCTCTCTGTTCTTTGCTATGTGCCTCAGCTTGCAAACTCTCTTGCCTGGTACATCATAGTATCTGCCACTCCAGTGTTTTCCACCGCAATGGTTTGAACTGATAAAACTTTCAATTAACATGCTTTATAGGTGTGAGTCTGGAACTGACCGATGGCATGAAATTAAACTACTTATGGTGTACTGAGAAATGCATTAATTAGGAGAAGATGAATAACACACTTACGTTTGCATCTTACACCGTGCCATCTGATAGATGTCAAAGGTGAATGGCATATCCAGCATTTGTCAATTCTCACCAATTCAAAAACCAGCTTATGGATTGCACACTGTGAAAACATTTTTTAAAACATGAAATAAATATAAAACCTTTACACACACAAATTATATCATGAATTAAAAAAAAATTTGTTGGCTTTTTTACTTTCACACAACCTTTTCTACAAATCAATCAGGAGAGATAAAAAAGGGGGAAAGAAGTTACTTTTGAGATATAATAGCGAAGCATATCTATTCAATTCATGTGACTTATGTTTAGGTTGGCTAACTGTTGGGGTGTCACTCATCACACACACAAAAGAGAAAGATATGCTTCTACTTGGAACTCTTGTGATGGCAAAAAACGACAATTCCTCTAAATACTGAAGTAAACCTTCATCTGGCATTTAAAAAACACAACACATCTAGTTTCTGAACCTGTGTCCAAAGCCAAATTTAGATTTACTCTGCTTAACTTCTATTATCTGAAAAAAAAAAAAAAAAAAGGCAACAGGGATCTCTACCAATCAAAGGCTTTGCTTAACACTAAAAGATAATCTCCAGGTCCAGGGTAAATCAACCTATAGCGCTGTTGTTTGAAGACAGCAAGTGCTGTAGGTAGAAAAGAAAAAGAAACTTGATTATTCTCTTCTTCCTAGCCACAGCACTAGGCTACATAACCTCAACCTGCAAGGAAATAGGTTGATTAACCCTGGACTATCTAATTAAGTAAAGCAAGAAAAGAAAAACAATTCTAAGTAGCTAAAGTAATTTTGTGAAAAAAAGGTAAAAATCTGTGTACGTGTGTGAGACACAGACAAACTCAAGGTATACAAGGACACTGTCCATCTCAAACATCCTAACTCAAACTCTAAGATTTCCACTATTGAAGTCCCAGTGTGTGGCGCACACAGAAAAACACCAGTGTTGGGGGGACACTGTGGTTAGAAAAGACCATCCACACTGAATACAGGACGATTCCACCGTAGCTGCAAGAGGTTTACTAAGACACTGAAAACTGTGTTCCATGGAACATCACAGTACTTCTAACCATTGGTCAATTTCAAAACACAGGTGACTTCAAACTCACCTCACAAGCAGAGTCGTTCGGCCCGGCTCTGGATGATTGACACTCTGATCTCGATTCGGTCTCTGTACAAGGGAAGACAGGGAGATTCAGTGCTTGGCTTTCCTCGCGTCATAAAACCACATATAGGCATAACAAACTCAACTCGCATCCCTGACAGACAAAATATCCATCAAGCCATAAAATAATCATCTACAAATGGTCTGATATTGCCAGATGTTTTTCATGCTGCAAACCCTCAGCAGGCATGACATGCATTGCCAGAAGTTAACAACATTTACTCAAAACTATAACTGACCAGTGGCAAGGTCTGTTGAGGACACAGGGGATGACACCTCCTGGTGCTGGACACAAGCTTCTCCAATCTCCTCTGTCACAGAAGTGGTGCCACATTGACCTCTGACACAGTGCACCTAAAAAAGAAGAGCAATATGCAAATGTTAAAAGTATGACTATCTTTACCGACAAAGATTTTCAGACTGTATCTGCAGTATAATTAATTCATAAATATGTCCCTTACGAAAATACATCAATTCTAAACATTCATACATCCCGAAATAAACAGCTGAATTCAAACTTACCTCATGCTCAGGGCTGTTTGGTGTGGGACTAGATGACGGACACTGTGCTCTCAATTCGGTGTCTGTTGAAGAGAACACAGGACATGAAGGCAGTGCTTTGCAAGACCCCAGTATTTAACAGGCATTGCTTACTCAAGCAGTGACTCACCTTTGAATAAATCTGTAGAGAAAACATTGGGTTCCAAGTCATTGGTGTGGTCACCAAGCACTGCAGCAGAGTGTTGGCCAGAAGGGAAGCTTGCACCACTGAGCTGTGTCTAAACAAGTTAAACAGAAAATGCACATGTGAACTTGGACATCACCTACACAATTGTGATATTGTATAGTTTACCTGACTAAGACTGTAACAATTTAAAATGTTCTGCTTCTGACCCTTGAATATGATTGGCTGGATCACATTTGATCGTGTTGTAAAATTCCCACATCACATCTCTGGCTGCATTTTGTTTTATGTTAGTACACCTTAAAAAAGTTACACTGTCTGCATTTGTGAATTACTTGCTAACAATTCAGAAAATATATTTTGCGTTAGAATTGTTATTTACAAATAGTCCCTTACATTTGGCTGTGCCCCCATTCAATAGAACTATGCCAGGTGTACATGGTGATGCTTTGCGTTGAGACCTTTTTTCTTTAGCCATTGTAAAACAATGGGACTTATTGCTTCAATAGACACTGTATTCAACCTAACCTCACAAGCAGAACTGCCTGATGTTATATTGCAGGACTGGACTTCTGGCCTCTCTCTGGTCTCTGTAGAATACAGGAGAGAATATGAGGAAGGCCAGGGATGGTGAGGTTGTGCATCACTCTAGAAGCAACCATACTATCACTGGTTCACATCCTTTATAGACACAATACATTTATATGCCCACCATAACTAATGTAAGACCATCTCTGTAAACATGGCAATATGTGGCATAAATGATTCTTACTCATCTACAGCACACCATTGACAGCTAGATAAAACATTAAATCAAACAGTCACTGACCTTCCATAAAGACTGTGGATGACATGGTTTGGTCTTGGAAACGTTCTTTAATAGACTCTTGGGCAGCAGTGCTTGTAACTGTAGGGGGAATCTAAAAACATACAGGACAAAACATACAGATAAGCTTGCTGGCATCAGCTGGGAGTGTCATGTAATTCAAGATTAACCTGACAATAATGACTGAAAACCGGATTGAATACCACCAAGCAGTGATTTCTGTTTTTTGGTTCTAATTGTTGGCTAACAAGCTATAGGTATTGTGTAATCTCTGTGGCATCATGAAACTGACACACAAAGTAGCTTTTAAGACAGAGATGATTTCATTGTTATCAAGATGTCAAAATATATACTTTAAACCTTGACACCAATGTATAGGGGAAAAATCAAAATGACCCACCTCTGTACGCCAGGGCCATTCTTTCCCACCATAGTCATAAGTGATTTCAGTTCCTGCCGCGATTTCTTTTAGTGCAAAAAGGCAGAGATGTGGCTTCCCTTCTGCTTCGATCAACTTCATTCTGCAATTTGGTGCCTTGTGTTCATCGTTCACAAGACGCCCGAATGACGAATCTTCAAGTGCTCCATCAATACTGCAAATTTAAAAACATAATGCACTAAACAGACGTTTATAGTGACACACTTTTGAATTGTACTTTAATTTGTGAGCAACTACACTAATGCCAACATCCAATACAAATTTAGTTATTCGATGCACAGTTAATTTAAAGTGCAACATGAGATCTTCACTTCAGAAATCCTGACTTCTCACCAGTGTTGTTTTTGGCAGCCCTTTTAGTTTTAGTCTTAGTCTAAGGCTGCGTCCCAATACCTCCCCTTACCCTAGATTTCTGCCCTAACCCTTGTTTTTGCGCGTTCTCGTGTAGGGGTAGGGTGTCCCAATACTCCAAAGAGCAAGGGGGAGTGCTATTCTCCCCTTAAAATCAACCCTCAAAACATAGTGCGATCCGATGCAGGCTTAAAACGAAGTGGAAGATGAAATTACCCAGGATACCTTGCGAACTCAGCGAGCCGGTCAAATTTTTCAACTAAGATGGCGGACACCGCTGGAAAGGAACAATTAAATTTTAAGTATATTTTCACAAATACGCATTTTAAAATGTCGAAATATGTTGGAATATGTTAGTTTGATGCACATCCAATGGACTGTTGAGTTTTCAACACTAATGTTAGAAAATATTTCACGAAGCTATCTGACGATGTTCATATGATATCTGCCGAGTGCTTCAAAAGCAAATCAAATATACATTTGATCTGGGTAAGTTAGTTAATCTAATTTTATTTTCGATTTTGGCTTCCAAGGATTATAAAAAGATGATATGTGAGGTAAAATTATTAAAAACTAGCCGCGTTCGTCTAGCGCATCATCTTCCCTTCACAGCGCGTGCGACAGTCATTTCTCTCTAAACGCAAACTTAACGTCAGAATCAGCACTGAGCACAATCGGTGATTGTTGTAAAGTGCAGTGTCTGCGGTTTCTAAATTGCGGGACGTTGGTAGTAAAAACAGCTACTAAAAGCACAATGATCCGCGCAAGAGACGTTGCCCCGGTTCCCATGGCGGCGCGCGCGCGCGCGTTCGGAAATGGATTGCAACTAACGTTAGACAAGCAAACTTTGGGTTTTGTGTGCGCTTCTAAACGATCAGATACAAACAAATATATGGCAAAATGACCGGAAATGCGTCTTCTATATTCCACATGTCTTCTCTGTTGATTCATCAGACTTAGATAAACGAAAACAGCCCACACAACAGGCAACACAACAACTGGAACCGGCAAATTTATGAATGAAAATAGTAGTAGAAGTAGTAGACACTTTGACGCTGCGCGTGACGTATTGAGGATTGCCGCGCTATATAGTGGTGCATATAGTGGTGTCCAGTGTTTCCCCTAGGATTTTTTTTCAGGGGGGGGGGGGGGCGACGGACGACTGCTAGTGTTGCGGAGCGGGCGTGTTAAGGATACGTGGTGTAATTTTTTTATTTTTATTAATTGAAATCATGTATTATGAATCATTAAGCTTATACAACTTTTTATATATATATATGAAAAAAAATTCACAATGATTGTGTGTTGTTTTTTCTGGTAATAAAATGAAGACATAAAACACAGATTTTAGCATTTATCATCAATTTTAATCATATGAAATTAAATAAACTTTTTGTCAAATAACTTGCTGCACAATGAGCTTTAGCCTACTGTTAAAATTAAAACATGGATTATTCCTTAAAAATGTCAGTTTTGATGATAATTTATTTGGATTAGTGTTAGTGTATTATTACATTGGGACATATCTAAATTCTAATGTACAACAGTAATATATGTCTGACGTTAAACCGAACTTTTATTTTGACGGGTTGCCGTGAAGACCTTTTGAGTTTCTGTGTGTTTATGTCATGATGATAGTTTTTCTCAAATGAAGCGGTGAAATGATCACAAAGTGACTTTCAGAGTGGATCTAGAGCCTGGAGAGGAAGTTCATGCATTTGTGTCTTCATATAGGCCAAAAAACAGCGAAAGCGTCACACGTGCTTCAGTGTGTGTGTGTGTGTGTGTGTGGAAACTGCGCGTCGGCGGTACCATTCATTCACGCATAACCATTCATTCCACGTTATACACTAAATTCCTTTTTTACGACTGGATTTCGTCAGCATTTTTGGGGGGGCGGGGGGTCGTTAACAGCGGCCCGCCCCCCCCAAAAAATGGTAGGGGAAACACTGGTGTCCCATTTCATAGGGAAAGATCTTCAACTCCACTTCCCTCGTTGAGGAGACTTTACTTTCGAGGGCACTCAAAACCAAGTGGAAGTTTTAAGGGGGGAGAAATGGGACAGGGCCTTAGTCTTATGGATGAAAATGCTTTTTAGTTTTAGTCACTTAAAAACGTAATAGTTTTAGTCAAGTTTTAGTCGACGAAAACGAAAAAAGGTTTTCATCAAGTTTTTAAATCTTTAAAAAAATAGAGAAAATAAAATGCGGCTGTGTCAAAATTGGTATCAAGTTCAAAACTAGAAAAGAAATAAGTGCCACTTTGCAATCTGTTAAAAAAAGAAAAGAATAGAAATCCATTTGGCAAGACAGGTCTATTTATCCCTGCATTAGTGGCTGCAATGAGCCTGTTTTGAATTGCACAAATTCTCAAAAGTCATGCTCAATGTTCAGCTGAGATCTGTAGGCCTACTTTGTTTTCAGTGAAACTGAAACAGCTGAAAAGCCCATCTCACAGAGATATGATGTGGCAAAGGGAAGAAGAATGCACACAGCTCTCTGCCTTTAGCCTATACTTAAAAACGTGATATATATTTTTTTTTAAATAGATAAAATAGACATAACATACTGTGTTTGATATGGGATTAAAATGATGGGTAGTGTATGGGCAGTGTATAAGATATAAACTAATGATTAATTATTGTAATATTTCTTTGTTCCGATCAGAGCATGTGAGCGGAGAGCGCATTTCTGAATATCC